TTATGATCTGTCGGTGGCGGTGGGGACTTAGTATTGAATTGCCGTGCTCATTGTGCGTCCACTGGCGATAAGTGAACGATCACTTGCTTTAACCCCGGAAGCTCTTCTGCAGGGTCAAAGTAAGCAGGGGGTCGGTGGTGGTCGAGTTGGCGTTGGTTGTTGACTAGTTAGCAGTGGAGGCCGATCATCAAAGTCGCCCAAGTGGACGACGCTCCTGCCGTTTGTGGCCGCTTGCTTGTTTGGGCGATCGGGCGGTGGTTCCCCTGGTAACGCGACACGTGAGGAAAGTGGGCTGCCTCTTCCGGAGTCGAGCACGTCAATCACTACCATTTCATGGAATGCCTTGAATTTCAGAAATATATACTTCGCGTATAATTGAAACTACCGTGCATTAAGTTTTTGTGCTCGTCAACTCCACTACTAGATATACACCATACCATACACACACATTAAACAGCGGAAACATGTCCTACATAAACGCCGAAACAGTCGCAGCAGCCGCCACAGTCGCAAAAACAGCAGGCAATACAGCGTACGCAACATTATCGAACACCGTACTGGGCTCATAAGTGCCCGGATTCGAGCTATTCGTAGTGCCATCCCAGCAATATCTCTCAAAGCACCGGTTACACTGATCGGGCACCGTAGTGTTAGTTCGTTCAAACGACCGACTTAGAACAGCACACGCCACACAAGCAGACCATTCCCCATCGCGACTGTTATTTCCCATCGTGGCTACATCGTATCCATTCAGGATGATACTATCCCTCTGTTCCTCCGAGTAACTTGGATCAAACGTCGACACGTTCGAGAAAGTCACGTACGGGAAGTTAGGGAGGTAAACAACCAACGGCGCCGGTCCAGTGGTATTCGACGAGTTGCACCCGAAGAACGTCGGGCGCGTGTTGAGTCCCTCATTGACGAATGTATTCTGGTCGGGAATAACAGGGAAAGACGTTCCATTGCCGATGCCCGTAGTGTTTAGGCTGCGCTCGTAGGTAGCGACTAGAGCGGTGCCGTTGGGCCAGTTGTACTGCGTGTCTGCCGAGGAGTCTACCGCGAAGATGACGTCCACGTGGCGCTCTGGTTGGATGAGTGGATGTAAGGGAATGTTTTGGAGGTCTTCGCCGCCGTCCACGAGGTCGAGGACTGTTTCATTTGCGGATGGGGAGGTGGAATTGGCCCATAGGTAGAAGGGGTTGGGGGTGTAGACTGCTATGTCTTGACTGTCTTCGCCGAGATCCTCTAGAATGTTTGTAAATACGTCTTTTAGGAAGCTGGGCAGGCTGGTTGTGTTGATTTGAAGGAGAAATTGGTTAAATAGGGTGGATGAGGTTCCCATTATGAACCCGCCATTGTCGAACCCGCGGACGCAGCTCTCGTTGCTTGGCAGAGATCCGGCTACAAAGCGTGATCCCAGGTACTGGACTGGGACGAAGCCGTATACCGTTGGGTCGAAGGTTCCGAATTCCCAGGGATTGAATTCGTAGACTGTGGCGTTGCTGCTGACTAGGAGCTCATGTGGGTAACGGCCATCTGCGACTAATATGGGCATTGGCATTTCTGCATTTCTGAAGGAGTTGGTCAGAGCTATGGATGACCAAGTGTAGTTGATTCCTCCAGCAGTGGCGTTGACGAGCTGGTATGAAAGAGCTCGGCCCCTGGTGGACATCAGTATTGCTGCTATGGGAAAGTTGGAGGAGGGTTCATACCAGTAATCAGTAATGGATGTCTCCCAACCTGCATCATCCTTCCCGGAAACTGCATCATATATATCTGTGTAGTAGGTTGCAGAATCTATAATTTGGATGCTATCCCCATCGGGACCTTCAAAGATCGAGTTCTGAAACTGCCAAACATCCCCGTCATCGTAGGTCTGGAGCGACGAGATGGTGGAGAAATTGTTCAAATATATAGATCCCACTAACCACGCCCCACCACTGAGGCCAGCCAAGTACGTTGCTGATTGCAGCAACCCACCCAGCTGGCCACTGCTTGTGGAATTTTCTGTACGGTTATCAAAAGCCTTGATTGCCCCGGCACCGTTCATTAAGGCCCGGTACCCTCCACCAGAGACAGCGATGCCGATGTTAGGCAGATTGGAGGTGTTACTCGAAACGCGGTTGATGTACCCCACAGCATCAAAGTCTGTAATATTGACATGACCGAAGAATTCCCTCATGGCCGACAGTGTATTGTTCCTCCGAGTCCTCAGCCATGATGATTCGTTTGACGAGAGTGCTGTCGCGCTGCGCACAGTGGGACGACTCGCAGAGCATCCGACCGTAGTTGGTGTATATCCATCTGGTGCATTCGGCAGCGCGCGCTCCTGCATCAAGTGTTTTCCGTAGTCATTGTTAAAGCTAGCATTTATGCCTATGGAACTCTACGGTTAGACCATCTCGGAAGCTGCGGGAAGTGGTGCAGTGGTGGAATTGAGACCGAAAATGACAATAACAGACCTGAGAATATGCTTGCAAGGGCAAGCAAAGCTGCTATGCACTGCATATTAGCAAGTACCATACGGCTGCCGTTTCTTAGAAGAGGCCAATGGGTTGGAATGGTGTGGAACAGCGCTTCCCGACGTCTTCATAGCAAGAAAGAGCAACCACTTCAGATTTCTAACCCGGCCAAGGCTGCCGCGCAGCCAAGGTCTTGGTGGTAGACAAAAGACCATTACTCGTCCAGCACCAGAACGGTACCGAAGTCTTGGGGATGATCATAGTGACCTCGTTTCTGGCGGTCTAAAGAACCATGGATCTTCGACAGGTGATTGGAGGGTTGCAGCGGAGATGGCATTGAATTGCAGTCCATGGCTTGGGACATTACTACCTACATGTGGAGGCTGGATTAAACCGGCAATTCCGCAGCTGAAGTGGCTGATCGCAGACACTAAAGAGAATTAAAGTTGGCAAACCGAACATGGATGGCGGTTCACACGGGATCGATCTTGGGCGACACTGCTTGTTGGGCTTTCTGCTGGGTTCTGAAGACCTCCCACATGGTACTCTCCAATCTTGAATGAGGCCGTTTGCTATGAGTACATTAGGCATTTGCTTTGTAGCAACTCGAATATACACAGTAAGAGACTTGCAAGGGACCTAGTATGCGTTCACGAAAGGACCCTGATGTCACAGCGATCAGTGGGTCCGGAGCTGACGGATGGAATCCACGGAACCAGAAGATCGCTCCCATCAAGTCAGCTTCGTATTCAGTCAGCTCTGCTGTTTGCTCGTGTCCAACCTCCAGTCTAATGCAATTAACTTTGGGTGAGCAGGACAATTATGCAACTGGAGGGAATCTGCACCGGAAATAACGTCAACTTACAATGTCAGCACTCATGTCAGCCAGCTGATAGCTACACAAAACACTGAAATACAGATATAACCTATCTCTTAGTATCAAATTGACTGGCTATACAACAATTACAACTGCTGATACATCACATCTGTCCGCATCGTATACTTCGTCCCCCTCAGAACCGGATCCCCACCATGAAGCAAATCCATCTGCTGGAACACCAACACCGAGCCCATCTTCGGAAAGACACGCAAATGCCTCTCCTTCTCCTCATATCTGGGTATAAAAGACGTCGCTCCACCCAGCAGCTCCCCCTTCACATCCAGATTCACCTCCCCCTCTCCCCGCTCAACCCTCTTCATTTCCCTCTTCAGCACCCCAAGATCCTGCTCCCCATGCCCACTCAAATACAGCTGAATAGTATAATACGACTTCTCCTTCCCATCAGGCGTCCTGTACATCCCATCCCAATGCGGCCGGAAATACTCTCCCCCTTCATACTTAAGGAACCTCAACCGCTCATTCAACCGAGTCATTTCATAAGCTTTATTCCGACCCGCAAGACCCGTCACCCGAGGTTGATTGTCAATCTTGTCAATCCCCAGCTCCTTGAAGAACGGAAGTAACCGAGCCAGCAGCTTATCTGCTATATCCTCGGAATCATAGATAATGCGTCCGCAATTCCGGGTGTCTGTTGCGAGCGCTTGCCTGCCATTTCCGATGTTGATCATGGCGCGTTCCCAGGTAGGTGTAGCGGTAGTGTCACCGGGAGGGATGGTGCTGGACTCCGCAATGCGGATTAGTTCGGCGCATTCTTCTTCGCTGAATGCGTTGTCAATCACTGCTGCGCAGAGGTTCTTGTATTCTGGGAGTGGTGGTTGTGAGGTCTCGAAGTTGATGCGATGGCATCGGGCGTTTGGGGGCGGTGGGGAGGTGAGGAATGTAGAGGGTATTCGCTGCATGGTTGGTCTTGAGGTACACAATGCTCTTATTATCTGACTCTTCATCAATTTCTTCTTGTTTTTATCTTCAATTGAGGTAGTATTCGAGACAGACTTATATAGGATGGACTTGCAGAATGAGGCTCGTAAGATGCGTCACCTATCCCGGGCCCCACTGTTGCCTGTAAGCAAGGCTGACGGTGGGCTGATCCTGGCTTAGCAGTAGGATATGCACAGCCTCGTGCTCCATACTGAAGGACCATGACTCAAATGAACTAGTGTAGTCTATCGCTAGTCTTTCTATCCATGAAACCTGTAAACTGACGACAGAGAACATAACCACTCTCATATTTCTTATTTACCCCAAGACTGACATACTCTCTCATATCTAGATCCTGACAATCACTAAATCTCCACGCTGAACTCAATGCCAAGGGGCGCCAGGTCTCGGCTAATTCTTTTCTAGTAGCACCTTTCTTAGATCTAACGTCGGTAAACTTCTGATATCCGTTCGCGTAGATCACTGCAGGTAGCCATTGATAGTGCTTAACATTATCGAGACAGTAACAAAACTTCATTGGCTCTGGTGTTCCAGAAGACCGCCGAACATGCAGGGATGAGATGCTATCTGTGCCAATAGAACGCGTGCACAATTTTACCCCTCGCCAACTAAAGCATGAAGTACAATTACAAATAATCTACCCTGTCGGATCTAGCTAGCGATGCAGATACATAGCTAAAAGCCAAAAGCGATCGCTAATGATCGCCCAACAACCGCCGAAGAGGAGGTAAGCAAACGGAATTAACTGCCGGAGTTATGTCTAAAACCGAGGAATAGCCATGGTATCTCACTTTATAAATGCACAAGGTGAGTTCTTTTCTAAGGGTACTTAGAATGAAAGAGTAAAGGTTACTGTCACTCTAGAACCCTGCTCTACGAATCTACTAGTACCAGCTACGCCGTCGAGGAACTCAGCATGCCCGAAATAGCTGGAAAAGAAGTCGGTCCCATTGGTCTCGGTCTTATGGGATTAACCTGGCGAGCGACACCACCATCCCAGGAGCAGGCATTTGATGCCATGCATACGGCAATTCAAAAAGGATGTATGTAACATTCCTCTGTCTTTCTTTTGCTAGTAGACAGCTATCTGAACCAACACTGATCAATAACCTATAGGTACCTGTTGGAACGGCGGTGAAAACTACGGTGCACTCGAATACAACAGTCTGGTCCTAGTGGAGCAATATCTGGAGGAATACCCCGAAGATGCCGACAAAATAGTTCTGAACATCAAGGGCGGCGTGAATCCCGACACTCACCAGATAGATGCTTCGGCGGAGAACACGCGCCGCAGTCTAGATAGCTGCATAGCGCAGCTGAAAGGTCACAAGAAGATTGATATGTTTGAATTTGCTCGTCGAGACCCGACTGTGCCTATGCAGGAGACGTTTGCTCTTATCGAGAAAGAGTATGTTCAGACGGGCAAGATCGAGGGTATTGCCTTGTCGGAGGTGCGGGCTGAGACTATCCATGAAGCTGTCCAGTATACCAAGGTTCTTGCGGTGGAGGCTGAGCTTTCTTTGTATGTATGGGATTTGTTGCGGAAGCAATGGAGGGTTAATGCTGACTGGAATAGATTCACTACTGATATCCTGGAAAACGGCGTCGCAGCGGCGTGCGCCCAGTACGGGATCCCGATTATTGCCTACTCGCCGATCGGCAGAGGCATGTTGACTGGTCAGTTCAAGAAGTTCGATGATCTTCCGCAAGATTCGCTGTTGCGCTCTTTCGACTTTCCGCGATTTCAGCGGGAGAACTTCGAGAAAAACGTGCAGCTGGTAGAGAAAGTGGAAGATATCGCTCAGAGGAAGGGTTGTACCCCAGCGCAGCTGGCTATCAACTGGACGAGAGCACTCTCTAGGCGCCCGGGGGTACCAACCATTATTCCTATCCCAGGTGCCACAACTGCGGAACGGGTGGAGGAGAACAGTAAGCAGATCGAGATCACGGATGAAGAGATGCAGGAGATTGATGATATATTGGCTAAATTCACCCCAGCTGGCGAACGATACCCCGGGGCCATTCCGGTCAATACCTAAGATGTATAGTATTAGAATCGTGCAGTATGAATGACACTCTCGTAGCCTTAGATGCTCTCATATCGAATAATGTTTCAAGGTGCCAAATCAGTCAGTTGACGCAATCTGATAACCATCTTTCCAGTAGAGCAAGGAACACATCTGAGTTATTCTGCGTTCAAAAGCTATATGACGAGTCACGAGTGCTTTGTCTACCAACTGAGCACTTGCTATCTGCTGGAAATCAGCAATCTGGATTGAACAACCATGTGACAGCACCAAATCCGGCTTTCCCAGCAATCTTGGGCAGACTAGCATATCCCAGCTACCGTACCTGACGATCGGAGAGACGCCGACCGGTCTGGACTGGCCGGGGTAAGTACCTACTGTATGCACATGGAAGATTCTAGCATGTAAGATGCATCTCATCACCTGAACAGCAGCCGTAAATCTGGGTGGGGTAGATGATAGTGCGACGAATGCTAAACGCTCTTGTATGTTGCATCTGTCTCAAGTTTTGGCGTTAACTGCAGTCGGGACTAAGAAGATAAGTCACAGTTGCAAGGGCAGGTATTGTGCAATCGAGGCCACGTCAGCGATATGTCGGGGTTCAATCGGAATGAGGAGGGACGGAAGGGACGGAGGACGGTAGTAAATTGGTGGCTTGGTGGTGAGAACCTTGGAAAATAAACTATTGCCGGTCCTAGGATAAGAGAGCTGGAGGTAAGGTTTCCTGTCACTCAACAGTCGAGAGGGCCGTGGGGAGACTACTAAAGAAGGGGTAGTAGTGGGGAGTTGGGGAAATTCTTGCTGGTCACACGCCTCACGCCCCCGCGGCGGCACTATCTATACATAGTAGACACCTATAGATAGCAATCAGGCGAGAACTTTACTATAGTATCTGCCACCGCTGCGGTCACCATTACGTTTAGTTTGATCGAATTGGCTTTTCCCTGGGTTCTGGTCAGACATAATGACTGTTAACTATGGACTATACGCGTTATCTACTGCACGCTTATAGGTGTAGATTTCTCGGGTCGCTTTTTCAGAAGCGCTCTATAGTATGCCTCTCTGGACTCCATTCAGCAACTAATAGCATCAAACGTTGATGTTGCTTCTCCGCAACCAAGCATAACACGGTATCAATATATTAATCATTGTGTCAAACTTGATTATAGGTTGATTAAATAAGAAAGAGTAAATTCTCAGTAATTGTGCTAGTAGGAAACTGAATGTACACATGGAAGTAGGATGTTTCGATTCCGCGGGGCCTCGACACCTGGCGCGCCAGGGGCGCATTGCGCACTGACCAGCAGTTACTGTCTCGCCTGTTCGTGGGAGAGTCTGGAACCTGGGGATCCCTAAGCAACCTGCCACCCTCGAGTCGATCATTGCCGCTGCCGATTGCCCGTCACTCCCGCATTTTGGTTCTTTCACCCTGTTGACCGACTAGGTCTATCAAGCAATACAGGCTCACACCATCTTTCAATATCCATATCCTGCACGCAATACATATATTCACATAAGCACAGTTGTATATGCCAAAGGATCTCTGCGGATTATACTCCCGGATCTTCCGGATTCGACAGGGATGCAGGCCGCATATCCGATGGGCGCATCTGGACTCAGTGCTTATTCAAGCCTATTCTCATGCCATGCTAGAGATATGAGAAACGCAAAGGGTCAGTAATAGCACAGCCATTAAGATCAGTTATCAGGCAGGCCAGCATATTCTGCCCGCGTGCACCGGAACGAACGTTATTGGGCACTAGTCCAAGCTTAAGCTCCAAAAGATCAATCAATAAACGAAAAAACTAGAATGCTCACGGGACCTGATACAGCCGCCGATGAAGATGCGGGTGCCATGGTAGTAGAAGTCCGGGGCCGGAAGGCCCCTAATTTCAGGCAGGAAAAAAGCCACCCGGGAGTCCCAGAAGGGTAAGATGGTGACACCTCACCTCGTTACGGTCCATCCCCCCGGTATAGGGATGAGACCCTTCCATTCAGCGAAGAAAAATATGATGGTCACATGGCAATCCCATGGATCCGCTTCGGGTGGCCGATCTGATGCCTTGCTCTACTCTGGTTTAGGCTTGTCGGCCACATCGTAGGAAGCAGGGACCTTGTATCTATCTATACTTGGAATGGTGGTTAATGATTCTTCTATGTTCCGAATCTCCTCAAAGTAAGGTATGGTTGTGGCTTCGCTACATATGGGTATGTAGCCCCTGATATAGATCTATGCGCTAGCTCGTATACACAAGATGTTTGTTTGGTTACGTGATCTACCAGATATCGATATTAATGTGTTCGCTTTACTAAAAGTGCATGATATGACTTGCCTCGATCCATATCGCTAGGGCTCTAGGGAGACTCATAGGGATGGAATTGGCGACCGCGGAGTTGCGATGTGAATTCGAAAAGCATCCTCTCCGCGACTAGAAAGTGCAGGAATTGGCCAATAGGATTGCCTGGACCTGTGATAAGCTTGCTGTCTCAACGTAGTGCTACAGACAGAGGAAAGGGGATCACACACTCCATGCATAGCCGCTACTGGTCCGAACGAGGTGAAATGGATAGTACACCCCTAGACAGAATATCTATGCTATGCCACCGTCTTAACCGGAGAGGTGGTCCAAGCCAACACCATATCTTGAATGTACATAACGCATACATAACATCCCTACATGCTGTACCCGGATGGGTGCCTGATAATGTGCAGGACGAGGACTGGAGACGATTGGCACTGGATCCGGGACGATCTCCGAACGACCCGTGACCACCCCGTCGAATGTTCGACCGAATTAAATGTAGCTTCCAGAACCGCCCAGGCAGGCCCCGTGATCAGCAGGAGTGGCAGAGACAGACCAACTGTCATCCTGACGGTCATTCTTTTCCATCCCCAGTTTTGGGTGGAGGCCGAGGGGGAGCTTCTTTCCGCCCGCCGCGCCCCCATTCGCCCCATCCCCGGATTGCCTAAAAGAGAAAGCCGAGCACTCCACGAATAGTGGCCCTTCCAGTGGAAAGCCATGGCCGGCAGTTGTCCGTTGTTCGTGTCGGTCAGGCCGTAAATTTGCCTTGGATGATGCTGGACGAGAGATGCTTCTGGGGAACTTCTCACGATGGCCTCCAAGACTCTTGTTACTTCATGATGATTTAACTTCGTCATCCGCGGGCGTGCATCCCCATTGGCCATGTCACTTTGCCCGCTTCTCTTTATCGACAACCCTTCATTACCCAGTTACTGTTGGGGAGAAACTGGAAATTCCCCTGGTTTAGATGTCATACTGATTGAAGAGAGCAGTAATTGATATTGTAGTGACTCTAGAGATGTGCATTGATCAAAGTTGTATGCTATCAACGTCTGGTCGGGATAGTTGCCGTACAGTATGATATACAGAAGTCATTCGGTGCCGGAACGATGCCTGCAGGTCTTGCCACGATGGAAAGGACCGAATGACCTCTTGGTGGAACCTGAATTGTATTCCCTTCTATCCCCATCCGTCCACACATTTCCTGGGTCTGGACCGCATCCACCTCTCCCTCGCAGCTAATCTTTCTTGGGTGCTGGTTCCAATCTTTAGTTGCTCACATGAGCCCTCATGACCATCTTGGGCCAACATCACTCCCCCTGAGGAAGCTACCCATGGGCTCATCGCAGATATATAAGAGGCTTTCTCGATGCTCATTGAGGTATCTGCCATCAGCAATTGAGTCTTCTTCGTGTTCACCTCTGCTTTCACAGTGACTCGCGTGCTACCATTGATTAAGACTTGCCCAACTCACTATCCATCTTACACTTGAACCTTCTCAATTACATTGTCTTTCAACTCTACCTTACTCTACACTTAGTCCACAATGTCTGTTTCCTTTGACACCACTGACGTTGCCCCCGCCCCGGTCCCTGTTGTACAGGATGGCCCATGTCTCGGCTCCAAGTCCAGAATGCCCGAGTTCAGCCTGGCTGGAAAGGTTGTCTTGGTCTCCGGAGCTGCGCGTGGCCTTGGTTTGACCCAAGCTGAGGCCCTCCTGGAAGCGGGTGCCAAAGTCTACGCTCTTGACCGTCTGGATGAGCCCGTAGGTGACCTAGAAGGAGTTTCCTATCTACTCTTCTAACGCGCAATTCTTCTAGTCCCCCGAATTCGCCGTTATCCAGCAGCGCGCTCTGCAAGAGCTGGGTACTGAGCTTCACTACCGCCGCATCGATGTCCGCGACACAGAGCTGCTGAACACCGTGATTGAAACCATTGCCAACACCGAAGGCCGAATGGACGGTCTGGTGGCGGCGGCCGGAATCCAACAAGAGACCCCTGCGCTGGAGTACACAGCCAAGGATTCCAACACCATGTTTGAGGTGAACGTCACGGGAGTGTTCATGACCGCTCAGGCAGTCGCCAAGCAAATGATTCGCTTCGGAAATGGAGGCAGCATCGCCCTAATTGCGAGCATGAGTGGCACCATTGCCAATCGGGTATGTTCCCATCTTGTCACCCGTTACCAGCCCTACTGCTTTCCCCGCTTTGACTCTTCCTTCTCTTGACTTTCTGTGCGACGACTGACTCATGATGCTGTAGGGTCTCATCTGCCCCGCTTACAATGCCAGTAAGGCTGCCGTGCTCCAACTTGGCCGTAACCTCGCCTCTGAATGGGGTCAATATAATATCCGCGTCAACACCATCTCCCCTGGATACATTGTCACCGCCATGGTCGAGAAGTTGTTCGAGCAGTTCCCCCAGCGCCGCGACGAGTGGCCCAAGCAGAACATGCTCGGCCGACTGTCCGCTCCTAACGAGTACCGCGGTGCAGCAGTCTTCCTCCTCAGCGACGCCAGCAGCTTCATGACTGGTAGCGACCTTCGCATTGACGGTGGTCACGCCGCATGGTGATGACATGAACAGTCATACTCATCCTCTTTTCCTTCCGGTATTTTACACTGCACTCTGATATCACGGCACTGATACTCGCATGGCGTTCATTGGAAGCGAGCACTGCACTATAATGGTTTATCATGACGTCTACCTCTCCGTCAGGAGGCGAATTTGTGGTTTCTTTTTCCCCTTTAGCATTTGGTGTCTGGACGGGATGATCGGGTTGATGAACAGTACCTAGAGCTGCTACCTACCACCTGTACCTATACCTATATTATACATACCTATCATCCCTACCTACTACCTACCTACCTAGTTAATCAATATTACTTTTATTCCCGATATATCCATCCCATAATTCCTCCAGTGAGACTGAAATAGTCCTCAGCCCCCACCATCCCCATCAAACCTTCGCCCAATAAACATCCCCTAACCCAAACCCAACCCAAAACAAAGTTACAGAATAGCACCACTTAGCGCGCAGATCCCACCACCCCAGAAACTCGCACATGACCCCACAAAAAGTCATCTTCTCAGCAAGCCTAGCCCAGGCCAACCTACCATAGGGCAGGAAGTTGATAAATGTAGTAAGCGTAGTCGTAAGCCTGCTACTAAGTACTCCTAGTAATTCCAGCCTGGCATCTTGCCAAGACCTATCTACTGCCCATATCCCCACCATCGATCCGGGGTAATTAATTACTTACTACCCCACCTCAGATCCCCCGCATAACTGCATACGTTTTAGATTCGGTTCTGAACCAGGGTTAGAGAGGTTGATGTGACGTGTGGTTGATGTATAGACTTATTATAATTATTGAATTTCTATATTTATTAGGTTTACTTTTTGGTTTTGGTAGTTACTGGGTGCAGCAAGGTTGAAGTTTCCTCGCTACCTTGCTATACTCTCCGGTGGTTCATACTATCCCTACTAAATAGATACGAAAAGGAGTATTATCTGAATAGAGAATGAATAGAAAATATATGTATCGAGGTAGTAGTGGTGGTGCCACTCTCACACAACACGAAGCACCACTATGGACGATGGAACTATCTATTGGTGCAGTTTCACAAAAGCAAAACGAAATGGATGAACCCAGACTTCGCCGAGAAAATGAAATGGATTGCCTATTTGGGGATTATACATGGTAGTCATTAGCTGAGAGGACAGTCATCTTCCTCTTCTACTAACTACTAGTACTCATGGATGTAAGAAAGAAGTTGACAGAGCCTAAGACGGATATATGTGCCGAGCGAAAACCAAACAAGCCATTCAATTATAAACAAAAATAAAATCAAAACCCGGAAAGAAGTCTCGTGATCCATCCGACTTAGTAACTATTCGAAGTTGAGGTAAACCATTTTGATGCCTAACATATCGCCTAAGCGGCCTAGTTCTTTCGATCCAGATGCAAGGGGATCGATTTGTGAACATAATCTAGACCCTTATTCGATACTGCAATATTAGTGTTTCTGGGGTCTTGGTTCACGTGGTGATTAGGCCTTGCAGGTGGGTTATTTTCATTTGTTGTTGAGATATCACCTGTGTCTTAGGTGAGGCTACTACTATACTAGTATAGTAGTAGTATATAATTGGATGGCGTTCACTTCGGCTGGGATCGGATCTTCTCACTCAGCGTGGCATTTATCTATATCCCCAATACACGGACAATTCCGGGCTTCCCCCTTTATCACCATCTCATTGGTATATACTCCTTCCCCGGATGATGTGGTTTCGGTTCGTGCTAGTCACTTGATATTTCCCCGGATCATCAGCATGATCCTATACTATTTAACTACTAGTAGTAGCTAAGTAAGTATTCAGTTCTTTCCATCCACATAAATACATACAAGTCCAGTAATTGGCTCGCTTGCCTCCGGTTTACCTGCCTACATAGATCCTACTTCCAACAGCCTGACCTGCACATTCCATAGTAGCATAGATATCAATTAAAGAACCACTGACAACGCATCACCACCGCAGCGTGCATGACATTGTCCATCTTCTGCGTGCAGTATCCGCCCCCGTATCTCTCCGACATTGGTATCCAGTTATATCATGTTCCTATATGGAAGGCCCACACTTTGCAATCGGTAATAGCATCGACGATGGGGTATCTTGTGACCATTTCCATTCATTTGATGTGGCGGACGTTAATTGACAGTTGCTGAAAAGGGAAGTGAGAGGGAAGGGAGATCGGGATCTCCTGTTTCGGAATGGTTTATGATAGTTTCTCCTCGTGGAGGGTTGTTTGATGGGGAAGTCGAATCGTCATCTGGGGGTGTAGGTTTCATGGTTGGGATGGGTGTGGTACGGAGGACAATGGGCCTTGTGCTTGTATTTGTAGTTGTTTTAGGAGGTATTGAGAAGTGGCTGTTATAGCGTAAGTTGGAGGGATTGATAACAACAATCCTCGATGGTCTAACGGTCATGATTTCCGCTTGTCAATCCTTAACAGGAACAACCGCGGGAGACCTGGGTTCGACTCCCAGTCGGGGAGATGTTTTTGGTTTTTGTTGTATTTTTGGGTGTTGGGTTATATTTGATGATTTTGCTATTATTTTAGCTTCTTTTCTTTTCTTTTTTTTTTTTTTTATTTATGTGCGTTTGTTGTTTTGTTGCTTTGGAGAATGCAGGTGAGATCGTGATAATGGTAAGATTTATATGGAGCCTTTTTACCAGTGGTATCTCTATATATATAACGGCCGAAGTCTACGACATCGAACACACAATCTATAAATGTCATCTAAAACAAACACTTAAAAAAACCTGCGGTCTTCTAGCACACACTCATAGCTAGAAATTGAGATGCTAAGAAGTGTAGTGTTCCTGTAGTTGCTTGAAATCTCCTGCGACAATGGTGAGGAACCGAGCATAGGAAGTATAACAAATCCATCACCACCATGCTTTGGAGTGCTTCAGACATACCATAACTGGATCCATACCCAAGAACCATAAGATCTCTAACAAAGTCACGAGTGTGTACAGGGCCTGGTGTCAGTTTTATCTTAGGCAATTCTCTGAATCCGTGTTTCTGTTATAGCTCATCCCGAGGAGCAACCTGAGTAGGCATTTCCAGTGCAATGATGGCATAAGAATAGAGAGGCCTGGTATATTAGGACCAACCGTCGAGGATGAATGCAAAGCATACTTTGGAAATGAGGGACTCGGATAAACGGGACGTATGGGCAGATCCAATTTATCAAGGCTATATGAAACCCGGTGTATTGAAGACCGACAATGTCTTAGACAAAGTCCGAGTACTCCAATTCCACACGCCCACAGAATCGCATGCGCTCTGCTATAATGTAGCAACATAGCAACAACATGCAGTCCATATATCGAATCCTACCCACCACTCTCATCCACCTCAAACGAGCCATCTACAACAACTTCTCCATCCCATAATGATACAATGCCATTCCATAACCATGCATACATACATCCACTCTTCCCTATCGTACACTCATTCCCCCCCAAGATTCCAACTCATCAACCAATATCCCCAACCACCCCCCTCTCCCCCAACCTCCCCACAACACCACTCTTCAACCTCAATAGCCTCTCAATCTCCTCCGCCGACAACCCCTGCCTATCCCTCATCGACAGGACCTGCCGAATGGTAAACGCATCAACAAACTCCCTGCCCTGGAATCCCGATTTCCCCATCGCCTCGAACTCCTGCTCCGCGGCCTTGGTGAGGCGCTGCCGCGCCGAGAAAACCAGTAGCGCTGGATTAGATGCGGGCGGGAAGACGGTAGGTGCGGGTTGTTGGCGCGCAAAGGTGCTAGTGTGGGAGAAGGTCGGGTTAGGAGTCACGGGGCCGATGGTGCGAAGTTGTGCGGCGAAATCTGGGTCGCGGCCGTCGAGGTCGATTGCTTTGTAGAGATATTGTTAGATTGGGTTTTGATGTATGGGACTGGAGTGGATGTACGTACCTGATGAGCGCTCGAGGGAGGGAGGTTCTTTTGAGTGGTAGGTTGGTCCTGTGGGGGGTGCTCGCGACGGTTGTCGCGGTGGTTGTGGCTGTGGTGATTGTTGTTGCTGTCTCGTGGGTTTAGATGCTGGTGGTGGTTGTGCTGGGGAGGAGGTCGGAGGAGAAACGGGTTGTTTGGGGTATTGGCGCCGCGAGACAGCCTGGGCGGCGGATCTCGCGGGCTTGGAGGATGAGGCGCCCATGGGTTCGCGGTTCTGGAGGATTTGAGATTGCGGATCTGGGGGTGGAGCTGGGGTTTAGCACTGATGTTCTGGAAGCATAATAATTGCGGTGGTGGTGATGATCGGTTTTACATGGATTCAATTGCCTTCTGCAGAGGATCGGGCGGACTAGCCTGTTTGGGATGATGGACTAGCCGCGCGGGTGACGTCAGCCATTACGAATTATTTACTTGTTCTTTTGATATTGTTGCTGCTGTTGTTATTGTGGTTTGGGAGGTGGGATACCCCTGACTGTCTAGGTAGTTTTTCTATAGAGGTGTGTTATGATGATATCGTATAGTAGATGCTAGTCCTATTCATGTCTGTTTTGCTACACTCATACAGTAAGGCTTGTCTGCACAAGCCTGGTTCCCTACAGGAACACTACTTCAATAATACTCTCTCAGGCAGCAGTAGTCCAGTACTGCATTTACCTGAGTCCGGCAAGCCGTCTGCCCTGGACTTCACCCAGAGCGCGGCTACCGCTGACGAATGCGACGGATCCGGCCACTGCGACAGCAGGGAGGATCTGGAAGAGAGTCCAAGAACTATAGTACAGGAAGAAGATACCCTCGATGGAGAGGAGGGAGCCAAGGAACACAATGTGAGGGATAGGAGCCGACTTCAAGGCGGTAGGCAGGTGGTTGACGTTGACGCCGAGGAAGAGCCACTGTAGCAGTGTTAGAAACGTCTTGAAAAGAAAGTATAGAGTAAAACTTACCACACCACCCAAAACGGGCAGAGTAGCGAGCACCATGGCGACAAAAGCCAGCGTAATCACGATGGGAGGGCTCTGAGGGTCGCTCTTGAAGATGTGGTGGATTTCAGGAAGCTTTCCATACCGCGAAACCTCGACGGTCGGGACGGGCTCATCGGCGCTACGGGTCACATCCAGCTGGAAGGCAGCAGCATTGTATGCGGTCGACTCGCCGAAGGATCCGATCAGGAATCGGGCCTCAAGAGGCTCGGAGGCGGAAAGGAATTGGATGGGAAGGTCTTTCTGGGTCTGAAGTATACATCAGCTGTGCCCTAGCTGGTTTTGCGTGTAGTGCAGGCCACCTACCAGGTCAAGCCTGGACTTGCCATTGTCCTTGACGTTAAAAGGGTATGAAATGTCCAATCCGGTCTCAGGGTCCTGGAGGAGGAGGTACACTTGGTGTGCGTGCTTTCCGGTGCGTCCTTCTTGAGCTGTCAAGGTAACTTTCAGGGTATCGGCGACTCCCAGGGCGACGGGCTTGGTAAGAGCTTTGTTATCGGGGATACTGTCAATTGAGAGATACCATTAGTTCAAAAGTTCCAGATGAGTAAGATAACAACGTAGAAAACAAGAAACGTACACCTCCTTTACGCCCGCACCGACACCAGCGCCTTTGGTGTTTACTGACACGGTGGCATCAGTAAATCCCCATGCGGAGGCAGCCGCGGTCGGGATAGCAGCAGAAGCCAGCAAGGAGAGCTGGAGAACGGAGTGCCACAGCTGCATGATGAGCGAGAGACCAAAACCACAGCGACCAGGCAGTAGAATGAATGGAATAGAAGAAAGCGACCAGGCTAAACACCGGGGATACAACGAGAGGAATGGGAAGCTGGAGCAACGACACGAACAGGCCGAAGCGGAAGATGCGCTAAGATAAGCGCCCGCGGCTTTGGGGCAAGCGGCAGTCCAGTGACCGCCCGCCGCCCGTGCAAGCCCTAATTTCCCGGCATCTCGATGGAGTTCGGGCTGCCAAACATTTCTTCTTCGCTCCCTCGTCCGGACTATCGGGTTTGTCTGCCACTGCTGCGATCCCGGAGATCCTCGAACGGCTCAATAGTCGCTCCTTTGCATTTGCGCCATGTCTTTTATGCCTCTCCTCTAGCCCCGGGAGCCCCCCTGCGCCTGCAGTTTGCCTTGACGTTCCGACTCCTCGCCTCCGCTTCACCGACGGGCCACCCTGGTCTCCGATCACGACAAGTTGGATCTGGGCGGTTGTGGTTACAATTACAACGAGTATAGCTGGATATTGGTACGTGGAGAAGATAGTTGGACTGCTTCGTGCCCCGTTGGTGGTTCATGCCAGGTATTCTGGGTTTCCAGGAGGTGCCGCTCCTGCTTGCCTCCGTTTTCCGAATCGTCCATCGGCCCTCATTCCATTCACTGACTCTCGCCTCGTCTCACAGGCCCGTCAAGCCCCAAATCCCCGTCGCATTACCCTTCCGATCGAATACCTTCATTTCGACAGGAATAGACACTGTAGTTCGCCTGCCATTCTGTCCGTTACCTCCGAAGTATCAGTGGTTGTATTATACAGGACTCGGCCGGGACAAGCCGTATTTCGGGGTTGCTGAAGGGATTGAAGTGATTGAGAAACAGTGAACAAGTAAGCCGAACAAAGACCTGAATCCCGTTTTGGGACTTGGGGATTCACCTGGATCAGGCTATTCACTGCGATGGAAGCTAATAACACTGAAGTGGTTGGTAGGGCTTCTGTTGCGAGGGAACTTGGGTCTCCCGCTGCTCTCTCCCTCGACTTGACTCCCGTAAGTCTTCTGCATCTTTCTGCCTCACGTCTCTTTCTTCGATTTCTAACCAGATCTCCAGAGAGAAACACGTCGAAGTTCGTCTCGTGCGTCACGTAAAACAACACGTGAACCAGAAGCTCTTCCTTCGAACTTATCTCACTCTTCTATCTCATTGCCCCCCACACCTGTCACCACGTCATTCGACGAACAGCTTCCATCTGCCAAACGTCGCAAGACGCAGCGTTCTGCCACTGTAGACGAGAAGACAGGTTTGAATCAAGAATCTGCCCAAACCCCGAATCAACAAGGTTCTGGTGGTCCCTCGCAGATATCCAACAGCGTCTCTAAGAAAAGAGAACGCGGCAGGAAATCGGCCTTAGCCAACGGTGAGACCGTGCAACCTGCAACTCCTGCTTCCAATCCCAAGCAACAGTCACAGTCGACGTTGCATAACTTTCTGTCAAGAACACTCAAAGATCGACGCAAGTCTCTTGTTACTCAAAACCCGTCAACGAACCCCACCATGTCTACTTCTCACGTCTCCTCTCCCGCCATGAACTCTTCCGCTTCCAATAGCCGCAAGACGCGTAAGTCTATGCCAGCAAAGCTGAACGGCTTTGAGAACAGCGAGAAGACTTCTTCCGTGGACTCTACCTCTTCTCTCACTTCTACTCCCAACGCTCAGAGCGGCAAAGCCAATAAAGCTGCCGCTAATATTGCTGCGTCTGCCACCACTGCTGAAGCTGCTGAAGCCCAGGAGGCTAGCACCAAGCTTGCAACACCTGCTACGCAGCCTCGCTCTACTCCTCGTACCACGACTGCCAGATCTCGTCGTGCCGAACGCAAGTCCAGAGCAATGGCTGCGACTCAGAATTCCAAATCAGTGCAGTCTACTCCCGTCTCTGCAGTGAATTCAGGCAGTCACAAGGCTGTCAATTCACAGGTTGCTACTCGAACCAGTTCGCGACCCCAGCGATCTACTCGAAAGTCTGCAATCAACGCCGCAAGCCAGGCCGTGGATGACGCTTCTCTTGAAACACCTTCTGTCCTAAAGACGCCCTTTGGCCGCGAGGTTGCTGACAGCATTGAAAGTACCCCTGCTCTTGACAGCAAGGCTGAATTCGACACCATGTCTGGATACGACTTGGATACCCCCGGAATCGAACGCAGTACTCCGTACGGCGAAAGTTTTCCTTTTGAATATCATGCTGATATGTATGGAAACAAATTTGGTCTTGATGGCTCCAATGAGGGCCCAGGATCCCCAACTGCCAGCTACTCAACCACTACGTCAGCTGCGCGCACTTCTGGCAGAACCAGAAAGCCTACCATTAAAGCTATGGAATCCTTGGAATCCGAACGGCGCTTCCGCAGAAACCGTGCACCGTCATCCAAGCCAGAGTCTGCTCTCAAGGAAGTAAAGGGCAAGGCAGCAGTCAAGAAGACGCGTGCCAACAAACAGGCCAATGCGAAAACAGCTGGTATTGCTCAGGCGTCGAAGGCAGGTGTCGATGGAAAATGGGCAGTTTTAGCAAACCGCCTTCTTGACCTGGCCGCGGCAGCTGTTGCTCCAGAATTTGAGCAGTCATCGGAAGCCGAGGGCTGGGTCGAAGAGTTACGCAAGGAGTACCTGGAGAAGCAGGAGAAGAAGACCGAAACTCCAGCGGTACAGTCCGAGGCGGAGCCCGTGACCGAGGCCGCATCCGAAGCGCAGCCCCAGGCAGAGATCGGCGTTGAGGGATCAAGTAAGCCAATCTCTACGTCCGAGACGCACCGGTGGACTGACGAGGATGGGTTCGTTTTTACAGGCCAAAAAAATAAATTTGGCGAAGAGCTTGTCGTTGTAGGCGAAGGCTATTCTTGGTTCCGCCCTAACAACACCTACGGAGACAAATTGCTCCCCCAGCCTCCGGTTCGCCTGAAGTCTCATGAACAGTTCGAGAAGGACCGCATCTTCGGATATCCCCCACGCATGGGAGAGCGCAACTTGCCCCAGGATAACAAGATGCCATTTTTCTTCGAAAACGTGGACGAGGTCAAGGCGACCATCAAGGCTCGGGAGGAGGCCCGCAAGAGAGGAATTGCCGTCGATCGAATGATGCCGGCTGCCTACATCCAGACCTTGATCGCTCAGCACGATGAAACCGCCCCGAAAGATGGTCCAGGTGAAGTGAAAGAGGCCAAAGAGACCAAGGAGCCGACTCGCAAACGGCGCCGCGGCGGCGAAGCCTCAGAAACCACTCAAGGGCCCAAGCGACGCCGTAGGGAACCAGAGCCGGAACCAACTCCACCCGCTGAGCCGCCCAAGACGCTGCGCATCAAGCTGACCTTGAAGGGAGGAGCGGGTGCAGCGACCAGAAAGCGATCCCATTCTGAGATGGAAGATCAGCCCGCCGATATGAAGCCTGCCGAAACGAAGCCCGCTGAGGGGAAGAGTCAGCAGGAGCAATCTAGCCCTTCCAAAATCCTGAAGCTCGGTCTGCGTCGCAATTACACTCAAGAGATGATCAGACGCACGACTCCAGAAGATCTTGCGATGGGCCCCCCCGAACCACCAAAAGACATCTATGAGGCTTTTAATGTAGCTCCCCCTCCTGGACCGCCACCCCGAAACTTCAACACAGCTCCTGGAGGACGTCCCCGTCGCCGTGCTGCGGCTGCCCTGATTGCAGAATTTCAGAATCACGCCGAGGAGAGGGCTCGTCGCGCTAACGCACGCAAACGGAACGTTCCATCGGACAAACCTGACGATCCTAATACTAAACCCAACGGCCAGCCGAATGGCCAAGCCAACTGAGATAATTCTCAATCGTCAGGCTTCAGTCGTCCATCGAAAAACATCGCATGTTCGCGGTCTGCGAGGCACCTCAACTCGCATACCAACCCGCAGACCGTGAACGGACTGGTCATTGAATAGTTTAAGGCTCTCATGAAGTGTGGTTGTTTCTCTCGTTCCTCAATGGCCAGTCACTCGTCTAACTCATATGATACATCGCATGTTGGCGGTCTGCGTGGCATCTCAACTCGAATATCAGCCCGCAGACCGCCAACACCCTGGTCATCGAGTAGTTCAAGGCTTTCATGAAGTTAAAGTGGTTGTTTCTCTCGTTTCTCGATGGCCAGTCACTCGTCTAACTAAGAAAATACATCGCATGTTCGCGGTCTGCGAGGCACCTCAACTCGCATATCAGCCCGCAGACCGCGAACAGACTGGCCATTGACTGATTGAAAGGCTTATGGTGAAGTTAAAGTGGTTGTTTTTCTCGTCTCTCGATCAATGTTTGCGGTCTGCGTGGCATCGCAACTTGAGTATCAGCCCGCAGACCGCGAATAGACTGGCCATTGAATTATTTTAAGGCTTTGATGAAGTTGAAGTGATTGTTTATCTCGGTTCTCAATGGTCAGTCTACACTCGTCTATATACATTGCATGTTCGCGTTCTGCGAGGCATCTCAACTCGCATATCAACCCGCAGACCCGAACAGACTGACCATTGAGTGATTCAATGCTCGATGAAGTCAATGTGGTCATTGGTGTTGATTCTCTTATCTTGTCTTCGGATCTGCGAGGAACTCGCCTCATTTCTACATCAACCCGCAGATTCCGAACAGACTGACCGTTGGGTGATTCAAGGCTTGATGAAGATAAAGTGGCTGTCCAACTTTTCATATTTCTCAATCGGTTCAGGTCTGCGTGGCATCGAACCTGGCATATCAACCCGCAGACCCGAACCGATTGACCATGGAGTGTGTTTTGATGCTTGATGAAGTCACAGTGGTTCAAATATCTCATAACTCTCACTCTTTTTGGGTCTGCGTGGCATCGCAACTTGAATATCAACCCGCAGACCCGACCGTTGAATGTGGTTCGAAGCTTGATGAAGTTACAGTGGCTGATTACATCTCTCAATTCTCTTACCTTGTCACCGGATCTGCGAGGCAAGTCATATCTATCTCAGCCCGCAGATCCATTTCCGACTGATCATGTTTCTCTCCCATGGTCAGCTTCTTTGTCTCTTTTTTTTCTTTTCCTCTCACTCTCAGTACTACGGAGTTAAGGGAATCATTTCGAGCCATTCGTGCATAGCGTTCAGGTTCAAAGGCAGGCGATGAAGTTATTGGCGTTCGTTTAGACTTATGCTTTGCTTGATTGCTTGTTGCTATCTTATTTGGTGGTCATTCGAGATCTAGAATGGACCTGGACTGGTTGTATTATCTTGTTTTTATCTTCTCTTTTTACTTCTATTATGTACTGTAGGATGAGTTTTAATTCTTCGAACTTGGAAATTGGGTGGAAAGCTACGGCAAATAGCACAGCGGGTTAATTTAAAAATACTACACATGAAATGGGTACATACTTATTGTGCACTGTTGTGACATCAGTCAACTTAGCTGTCGTAGATTGGTATAGAATAAGATAGATGGATAGTGATGCCTTAGGCATAAAGTCAATAATCCGAACCTCAAACCACCTGACTTTTCCGCCTCCATCCATCCATCCATTCATCCCATCAATCATTCATATCCAATTCTACTTCATTCCCAATAATCACTCATTCAACATCACCCACCCACTCACTCACTCAACCAAACTAATTCCATTCCAAATCATAATCCCCAAGTGAAGAAAAGAAAACATGCCCTCCCAACAACAACAACAACAACAACCACCCCCCAAACCAAGAGTGATCATGGATCCTCATCACCGCCAACCAATGCCACCCCGTGGCCAACGTCCAGCGGGAGCAGTGAAAGATATCCGTCAAACGAAAGAATATAAACTTGCTGCGAGACGGTATGTCATCACCCACCCCTCCACCCTGCTTATCATTGATTACATTACGAGTGCTATAGAGGAAATCATCCTCTCTTAGGAAGTTTAGTTTACTAACATGGAATGGCGATGGGTTCATAGATGGATATCAGTAATGGTGGGATTACCCATCTTGATGTATACGTCTTGGAGTTTGTATGAGAGGAGTATGTATATTCCTTCTTCTTCTTCTTCTTCTTCTTCTTCTTCTTCTTCTTGATTAATTACTTTTGGTTTGATTATTATCTGTGTGCTTGCTGACTATTTGGTGTGTTTGTAGCGTATGGGGATAAGAGGCCGAAGAGGTTGGTGGAGAGGTCGTCTACTTCTACTATTACTCCTGCGGGGTTGGGTTCTGGGAAGGGGGAAGGGGAGGGGGAGAAGTAAGTAGGCTTTGATTTGATTGGTGGGATGGGATGGAGATGGGTTGAGTGTATGGCTATTGTATTTATATGAGGTATGAATTGCGGTTGTTATTGCATTGGGGAGGAGTGTATAATATTATTTGTTCGTTTGTCCGTCTGTACGTTATGCGTTGAGTGTGATTGTTGATAGGAGTGATGACTGGTTGTGGGATGAGGAATAGAAGGATCTGCATATCTACCGAGGTAGTTATCATCGATATTTTTCGATATGTACATCTTCAATATACACATGAAGTAATGATATGTACTCTGATTGATACATACCATCTATCAGGGTAGTTTCATCTAAGCAAAACACTCCGCCCAATCACCCCCAGATCTAGCAAAGCTCAACCCCTTCACAAAGCTATCCCGGGTACATCTACCCAGAGAATCAACCGGACACCCATGCAGCGGGACAACGCGATCATTAACCAAGACACGGACCAGCGGCTCCTGCTCGGCCTGACACTGCATCATCTCGACGTACAGACGCGAAGCAAACGGAACCGTCCAAGCAGACGAGAATCCATCTGTCTGGGTGATATTCTCCGCGGTCGTGGTAGACAGCGGCTTGGTGCCGTTGTACAGACCCAAAGCAAAGAGAATAGAGATGATGCCGTTATCGTGGGAAAAGTCCGCGTAGAGAGTAGAGTTGAGCGGGAAGGTAGCCGGGTTCGAGTCCAATGTGTGGTTGGAGCTGGTGTCATCGTGGACAGGCGAGTGGGTGAGACGGGCGATGAGCTCGTTAGCGTAGCCGACGCCCTGGGTCGGGCCGAGCGGGTTACCCGCGCCATGGCCGTAGTATTTGTTCAGGGACTGGAGGTAGTCGTAGTTGATCCATTCGTCATGGGTGAACAGGTCACAGAAGGGGGACAGCTTGGTGTCGACGGTGCTGGTGGAGATGGTGTCGAAGGAGCACATGTCCATGAGGTAGGTCACCTCTTTGTCTGTGAGAGACACGCCAGACAGGTCGTTCTCCAGACGTTGACGAATGGAGGGGACGAACGTGGCGGTGAAATTGGCTTCGACGGTATCGGCCAATTCGCTGTCTTCGAAGACAGTGCAGGTGCCTGGGTCGAGAGTGTTGTTGGATGAGCTGGCCTCGGAAATGACCACGTCGATCTTGGGCGACGATTGGTCGGGCTGGGCATGAGGATCCTTCAGCTTGGTGCTCTGGAAGCCCTCGATGAATTTCTTGCCGGAGGCGATCACGCGGCTGGAGCCAGAGGATCGGATGAATGGAATGATGTTCCTTGTGAGCGATTCGTAGCGCTGGTAGAACTTGATGCCGGAGTTGACTAGCTCCTCTTCTCCGAAAGGAGTCAGGTCATCTGCACCCAAGCTGTAGTTGTATGTCTTCAGGAAGGCATATTTTCCATCAAAGGTGGTCGCGTTCTGCTGGATCTCCTCAATGAGAGCGGAGTATTTCTTGCCCTTAGAGTCGGTCGGATACCGCGCTCCATGACGGGAGAGAACCTGAGCGAAAGTGACTCTGCATCCGGCGGGCACATCAGGGGAGATGGCCGATTCGTTGGCCAGAGAGAAGAACGGCGCGTATTGACCCCAAAGATGCGAAGTCTCGGAGAAGCATTGATACCCCTGATCGACCGTATCGCAAGTGGATTGATTTCTCGAGGCGGGGACTGCCAGTCCGGAGGTGACTCTGCACAGATTGTCAGCGATCAATAGTCCCACACAGTCCGAGCTTCAGGGGCCCTCGGAAAAGAGGGTCCTTATTAGACTTTGATCGAGGTGCTTAGCATACCCAGACAGGAGATACAGAGGAAGTAGAACAGCAGAGACGCCCATGATGCCTATGAGCAGGAATTTCTTGCACAGCAGCGATTGGCAGCTACGGCCATCGCGCCGGACCGGACGGTCTTCATATAACCCCTTCATCCCACCTTGGCATGGTGTGTGATGCTCTACCAGTTCAGGTTAGAAGCTCACAATGGTGGCCCACGTGCAATGGTGGGATGGATCTTCAGCGGACGAGGCCGAATGGGACGGGAAGTCGACAAGGGACGGATATATCTAGTGTGAGAAGTGGAGGAGCTTTCTCGAGAGAAAGGCAGCAGGTGGTGTTAGTTCCATCTTCATTTATTGCATTCAAGTTGATCGTTGAGCCAGCATTGCCGTGGGACGCTTTGATTGGCTGAACCAGGGCACGTGGACGACGGAAGTTCCCCGTTGGGAAAAGGTGCCTGGATGCCCTAGGCCGCCATCATTTCTCTTAGCAAAGATCTACATGAATGCTTCCACGGCTGAAGATTCTCGGACGCATGTGTCATCAATTTGTTCCTGTTTATGCTATACAATCTAATATGCTGTGCCGAAAGCCCGAAAGGACGTGGGGAAATCATAAGAACAGAACGCCGAATGTCAAACATCGCCCTCGCTCATTAAAAGTCAGATAATGGCAGCGTCTATCGTCCAATATGAGAAGAAGAAGCAAAAATTATTCAAAGCAATTTATTTGCGGACAGTGCTGCATGCAGCAAGGAGTATCTTCAAAAGTCCACCGTGCAGGCCGTTTAACTCATGGCAAAGCGAAGCAGAGAAACCCAACACCACCCAACATCTTAATCAACAATGGAAAACAACCAGGAGAGACATAACTGAGTAAATGTGTACGATAAATGTATAAGATAGACAAGTTGCATGATAATACCCGATCATGGAAAGACAAACAAGAGGCAACGACAAAGCCACCATTCAAAATACCACCCATCCATACACCTATTTCATATGCTGATCACACGAATCGTGCGCAGAGAGCTTTTCCCAATGCTTAAGATGACTTAGCCTCCGGAGGATATGGAAAGAAAACAAGCCTTTTAGGAACTTTTATGGCTCTCAGTCCTCAATGCGCAAGGGCATGCGGAGGTCGATTACATGACAAAAAAGGGAAAATGAGAAATGAAGATATCTCGAGAATGCGTGTCCCGCTGGCATTAGTAACCCTCCCTGCGAGCCGCCAGAAGTATTGTAGATTAATCCGATACTCGAGATGTCAAAGCCACATTAGGCGTCCGATGTTCACGTTTGCTATTCATCTCTTCAAGAGCTTCGCGCCCATTGTCCCGGGAACTGGGGCAATGATCTTGCTTGCTGGTCGTCGGGCAGCATACCTCGCTCAACGTGGGCTGCCGGATACGAAGTAGGAGTGGCCGACCACGTCACGGGCGGCCTGGTTGACGAACCGGCCATCAGGTGAGATGGCGCTGGGGCCAGCTTCCCACTTCCAGAAGTGTTCTCGACCATCTTTCTGGCCTCCGAGGCATGCCATGTGGCCTCGCGCTCAGAGGCGGTGGACTCGAAAGGCGGTCGTAGGGTAAGCGGGGATGCTGGCCTGGCCGGAAGCTGACCTGTAGGCACCAAGCGGGAGACGTGTTCACGGAAGAAATCCCTCTCAGAGCGATAGAAATCCCGTTCCTGCATCAGAGATCGGATTTGATCGTCCCGCCTCTTCAGCTCTTCAGTCTTCTTCTGGATCTCCTCCAGCTGCCCAGCAATCTTTTGCTCCAGCTGCATCTCGTTTCTCTTCCGATTTCGGAACCTCCTCGATGCATCGCTGTTCGCCTTCCGTTTCTCTGCCTGGCTAGAGGACCCTGATTTCAGATCTAGTATGCAAGGAATCATGCCAGGGTAGGGGGGATTCTCTGGTTGGGCTCCCGCAGCAGTCGCTTCTTCCCCTGTGGCCCTTGGTCCTGCCATGACTGAAGGCAAGCGAGCGGCGGGCTCGCTGGATCCGTACGCGGATGCATTGAGAAACGAGGGTGTAGTTTGCTGCATTGGCGCAGCAGACACTGCTGGAGATGACCGCCCAAGCTGACTGTAAGCAGAAACGGGGGTTGTAGGGCTTGTTTCCTGGGAGCTTGGAGCAGGCGTGGGGTTGGCGCTTGTCCGACGGCTGTGGAAAGTTGGAGTCGAATGCATGGAGATTGGAGCCGGTGCAGGATGCGTAGATGTCGAAACTGACTGCCCAGGATATGGATCAACGGATAAGGGAGAGCCAGGAGCTGCTGAATAAGAGGCTAGACGAGATGGGTGAGCCAGAGGAGACTGTGAAACACCCAGTCTCTGGGCGTAACCGCCTCCCGTTGAAACAAACCGCGCAGAAGGAGAAGCTGGGGCGATGGCCTGATGATGCTTCATAGCGGGAGACGCAGAGAGACGTTTTGCTGGGTGAACGGAAGGAGAGGGAAGATGGACTGATGGGGAGGAGGGCAGTCGTGCGTGGGATGGTGACGATGAAGTAGTCGGCACCTGGGACCCTAATGCTTCGCGACCGGGTTCGGCCGCAGCGACTGCTGCTTTTGACGGTGGGTTCAAGATCGACTCAACGCCGATGGAACGAAGCTGAGTAGATTTCACGGAAGGTTCCACAGGAGCTGATGGTTGCCAGGAAAGAGGCCGGGGACGCACAGGGTCCGGCCCATCGGAAGATGTAGAGTCATCGTCTGAGCGAGGCCGCTTTCTGCCAAACGTACTGTGATCCTCGGCCGGATGTGCATCGCCTGGGGAAGGGCCAGTCAAGGTGGACGACATATGCTCCGATTCTCTTTCGATAGATCGATGGAGCAACCTAGGGCATTGCTGGGCCCCCTCTCTCTCCAGATGAGCTGGAGACTCGTGAAGAGCTGCCTGAGAGAGGGAGCCGGCGGGTTGGGCAAGATGATAGCCTGACAGCGAATGATATTGTTGCGAGGAATGAACCGGGTGGGAGTATGGAAGACTCGCCAACACACTGATCCCGAGGGTAGCCACGGTGAAAGGAAAATCACGGAACCACAAGAGATTAAAATAAAGGGACAAAAGGAGGACCAGGTGGGAGAAACCCGGTTGCTTCAAGGGAAGAAGTGAAACCTCGATATCATACACCCGGTGGTGCTGCTTGTTCCCGACTAGGAGGGTATTGTTGGTTGCAGAAAAGACAGAGGAAGAAAGAAGTGAGTACTACACGATAGTGACCAGCAGTATACCGGATGTAGTAGTCGTAGGTAGTATGGCAGATTAACAACCGTGCAGATCGCACCGACAAGAAGAAAGATGATGTTTTTTTTAGAAGGAGGTAAAGGGCAGCAGAGGATGAAAGAAATACAAATTATCTATAAAGATAAATGAATAAATACGGAGAATGGGAGAGAGCAAAGAGGAAGAGAAGAAGAGGAAGATGGATAGAATGGAGGGCCAGCAGGGACAGGGGGGTGACAGTTGGAAGAACAGACAAGAAAGGAAGAAGTCAAGCCAGACTGTCCAGGAACGATGATGATTTATGATGAGGATTAGTTATTCTGATTATTTTCTCTAGGCATGGTTTATTATTATTATTGCTCGCGGACGGCTTTCCCGTAGGAGCAGAGACGATCGTAAAGTAACCTCGAACCGTTGTTGACAGCATCATTCGGCGGTGTGAAACGAAACGACAGTGAGAATAAAATAAAATAAAGATGGGATTAATCGGAAATCAGAATAATAATAATAGAAAAAAAAGGAATAAAAAAATAAAACAGAAATAAGAAAAGAAGAAAAAAATAAAATAAAAATCCTAATCGATCAAAAAGAAAAAAAAACTGATTGCTGGGATGAGATGGGCGGGGGCGACAAAAAACAAGAGTGGGTGGGACCCCATGAGTTGAACCCAGAGACGTGGGAAGAGGAGACAACTAAGACAAGGACCCGAAGCCGACTTGCATTGGGCGGATCGCGCATGTCACAACAGTGAGAGATAATGAGAAAGAAAAGAAGGGAAAAACAAAAATTTGAGAAAATTCTAAAAAAGGAAGACTAGTTACCAACTCCGAGTAAGAGGAACAAGAAACAAGAGAGTACACAGCACGACCGGCATGCTTAGGGGGAAGAAGGCAAGCAAGCAAGCAAGATGGCAAAGTGTATAAACTAAAGTAGAAAAAGAGAGTTTTGAGGTCAACTTCCAGTGGCAGGTGTATCCATACCGACATGGGTGTGTGCCTTCTTACATACATACATACATACATACAGCTTACATACATACTTACATACCGAGTACCTCGCCATAACCTCCTTCCGGTCAGAGGTACTTACATTTGACATACATACATCTCAGTCATACATACGTGGAGACTCTTGTTTCCCTCCCCTTCCGCCCCCCGACAGCCTGGCTTAACCCAGGCCTGGTTGGCAGAAGGGCTCTACTACCTATCCTGCAGCCCATTCTCATGATCATAATAATAATTATATAATCCTTGTTATTATTAATATTTTGACTGTATTATTATTGATCTATCGCGCCTACCATCGAAGCACCTAATCTACTTGCCGTCTTAGTACCCAAAAATACGTACTTGTTGAGAAGTTCGAACCTCGGACCTGACTCGTACTTAGCAGGGTGATACGGACATACATGCAGATTGCATACTTTAGATTAGGTAGTAGGACCTGGACGATGATACCCGGTGGCCAAAAGTACCAACTGAAGTAGTAATAAGAAGAGAGAAAAGATGAAGAGAGGGGCTAGTGGAGGCAAGTCAACGCCGTGAATGAGAAGAGACTCGGGGGTGACGGAATCTCACTGCACTGGAGCTGCTGGGCTGGGAAGCTGTTCCCAATATAGTTGTTGGGTAGGAGGTAAACTAGTCATGAAGAGGAAAGGGTCTCTACTACTTACTACTATTTTGCTCAGTAGTAGTGGATCATCATCATCATCCATCATCTTGTCCAGAATAATCGCTGACGAACGTGGAAATGATTTAAAATGGGGAAAAAATAATCTCTCAAAAAGTATAACAGTTAGCTTACTGCGCTATCAAAAAAAATTGGGGAGGTGCTATAGGGATGGGGACTCCATACCTAGACTACTACTTGTAGACAAACCATTTACACACACTCACCCACCCACCACTTCCCAAGTGAGTTGGCCATCTTGGAGATTGAACTTTCCTTTACTTGCCGAAGCAGGAAATCTACGAGAGAGCGCGCCGCCTCCGGAATGGAGCTATTAGTTTTCTCTGGGTAGTGGATAGGGATCCCACGGGATCCTTCCACAGCCCCAGCTGGCTGGCCGAGCGAAGCGTGCATTAATTTACTAGGCAGACAGACAGACAGACAGAATTCCAGGTATGTCAGTAAAAACTGCTAACTAACTAACTAACTAACTACCTGGCCAACAAGCGTAACCCACTAACAACGAGCTAGTGAGGTCACTAGAGGCAACTAACACCGGCCTTGGGGCTGGGGAAAAGGTGCAGGTGAACCGGAGCGCTTAAACTGGGCGCGCCAGCACTATGGATCAGTGGAGGCCCTGAAAATACCTGCTTGGTACTTTACCGATACCGACCGATTCAGCCGGAGATCAGGCTGTGTCGGGTTCCTTACGGTACCCGTGAGGTATACTGTAGGTATCTTTCTTCCGTTACTTTACGCCATACTAAAAGCACTCACTCATTCAACTTCCCGAGTGCACTTACCGCCTTTAAGCGCCATCAACTCACTATCAGAGCTATAGTACTATTCAACCATCGACTCCATAGCTACAATTTACTAGACTGGAGTAGTCTATACAGAGCCTCTAAGCGTGAAATCATGCCACTCAAAAGAGTATGACTAAGTCACCGGTTTTTCTCGGAAGGATTTCACCTCCATTCCTGCCTTATGACGATCTCAAAACTAATCACTGCTCAAGGTTTTGGTGCTTCGCATTTCGTCTCCACGGATTTCACTTGCCAATCCACATCTCGATACTGATAGACTTCGGGTGTCGCTCGCAGCCCCAACAGCCTCAACTATATCATGTTAGCTAAGTTGAATGATCGTCACTGACGAGATAGTTTGTTGCACGAGTGACATGGCTGGGTCGAACAAAGTGGACTTGTACCGGTTAGGGAATACATCCACCCCCAAGGTGAAAAAAACAGCCAGAATGGACGGAGTCTTGACCGAAAGTAGCGAAAGAAAGAAAAAAGAAAAGAAATGTTTTCGACGAAAGACAGCTACAACACAAAAGTAAAATCTGAAAAACCGGAAAAGAAAAAAAGAAAAAAGAAAAAAAAAAAAAAAGGTAGAGAAAAGAGAAAAGTAAACATCTGGCTAGCTCTAACTCTGAATGAAACCATGTCGTGGCTTTGTGTTGCCGGCTGTTTTAGACCCTCGTTCACCCTCCAGGCGACGCTTATCCGGACGGGTCTTTCCTGCCTATCTACCTAAGACTAGATGCCTTAGCCCCAGAGTAGCTGCCGTGCCAATTCCTCCTAAGAAGCTAAAACAAGGCCCTCGTCTAGTTCGCATCGGCAGATGGGGCGGATGGCCTCGCTTCTCCCACTCAGGACGCCCAAATCACGATGTCTTGCATGCATGCGGGCAACATGCTTTTGCCTTCCTTCCCCCCCCCCCCAAATGTGGATGACAGACGGGTGACCGTCGTCGTTCCCATGTCATCTGCTGATCACCGTTGCTTCTCACCTTTCTAATTTTCTGGTTGTCATCCTTCAGTACACCTCGGGGATTCTGTCTCCGGTTCTTCCTTACCTCGAGGTCAACACTTTCTTATCACAGGGTGTCTTGATAGGCGTGTTTGGTGACCTCGTTTGTCTCAATTCGATGGGTCCTTCCTGGTGGCTTAGCAAAGTCTTTAAAAACTGGGTCTGTGGGCTGCAAGGATCATTTTTCGTTGCACGCAGGCAACAGAGAAGACAGATCATCGGAGAGACTGGCTCGTCATCATCTTACTGTCATCTAAGTGGTCCACGGAGGATGCTTTGTGTTTTCATTCGGACTTTGGTGTCCAGCGAGGTCGGCCCAAAGGCCAAAGGGAAACTGTGGTGTTTCAGCTACGTCATCGGGCATCAATCGCTTTGTAAACACCTTAGAAGCAAATGTGCAATAGATGGTGCTTGCTGTATATCCCGCAAACTTCATGGGGACATAAAGGTATCTTGCCTACCTTGAATCATCAGCAGCATACTCATAGACTCTACATTGCATTGTGACTGCTTCGATGTAGAGCTTCTTGGTCTCGAAGAATGTTCTCGGACTGTATATGATGTTAAAAGTCACCGGATCAAGGAGATATCTACTTGCAGGCTGCAACACAGCCCAACCATATGCAACGAGTGCAGTTAGCATCCTCTCCCTTCCAGCTGTGAAGCTCAAATGCTAGGGTAACCCAGTATGAACTCTTGGGTGCTGCAGGCGGAAGCCAACTACTATTATAGACGGGCGTACGGGCTGGATTGGTGGGATATAACAGAGTCTCCGAAGCTTGCATCATGGGTACCAGGCCACTAAATTTTGAAACTATTGGTGGCCGAGCTAGTCCGGATTGCCGCGTCCTTGACTGTCAGGTGGCTCCCACTTGCTTCGCTTTGTCTTTCGACCATTTCACGACCGTCGTACCATCTATGGTAACATTGCCTATACTTTGGGGTTTAGAGGGTATTGGTTGGGACGGATCTCTGATCTCTGCTGCATGCATGAGATTGAGACACGATGCTTGTACTTTTGAATTTGAGAAGTGGGACCGCAGGAGAAGTCAGGCAAAAAACCGAAGACAATAAGAAAATAAGATAATAATGACCATTGGGATAAGGCAAAGGAACAGAAAATAGAGTAAAGTAGGAAAAGAGAGTCTGTAGATCTGTCAAGTACATATGTCGGTAAGGATCGGTGAGCTCCATGCTTCTGCAGAAAGTAGCGAATTACCTGCAGTGAGCTTGGGAAATTTCTCTGCGATCTAGCCGATCCAAAGACCGCCATTGGCTAGCAGCAGGAAAATTGGTGGCCCTTCCTTCGTTTTCAGTGGGCGGGCCCCCCCTCTGTACTACCTCAAAGGGACTGTTGCTTCGTCTAGCTGGCGCACCCAGCTGAATTGGGATTCCCCCCTGCTACGGAGTAGTCAATGCCTCCGTTAGTCACTAGAGTATTTCACACGCTGGATGGTTCGCTCTGAAACCCCACGGACGGGCGGTAACCTCGCTAGCCACGGCAAACAAGATTCGATCGCATTCGTATCTCCCTTATCATTATTGAACAAATCATAGCTACTGCCCGTCATTAGGTCATGAAAAAGACGGACGATGATGGTATTGCCGCGGAGTAAGGGTGATGTCCACCGTGTCGGTATAGGGTAAATGTTCTGGTTATGCGGGCGGCACATCGGTTCTGGAAGCCTCTTCTAGCCAACTGCGGGTCAGGCCAACTTGGTCTTCAGATGGTGAGCCAATTCGTGCGAAACTACATGCGATTTAGTGGAAGGTTGGCGGTAAAGCTAGTAGCTACCTGCTATCTAGCTCTTCTCTCTTTGGTAGATTGAGGTACACACGTTACCTGATTAATATGTGCGGGAAGTGGAGACGAGGTGTTCCGTCCTCATTTGATTCATCCATCGTGGCGGCTTGACGGGACCAGGCATGGCATGGGACGATGAGACTGATAGCAGACGCCAGTCAGTCCAGCGGTCGGGATCGGAACCATTCTCCGCCTTCTCATTTGTGTGCCTCTTTTCGTTCATTGTTTGCCCTGGTAATGAAAGACATAATTTTATCCTTGTGGATTCAATTGGTCCCTAAGTAGTCACCTCCTCTGCCACGGTAGCGAATCCCGGCGACTGTTGATGTTCATTTATTTTCTTTATTCCTGCCCTGGGCTAAATTATGGCCTAACCCGGCACCGCTCTGTGGTACTAAAAGACACTAGGCCGGGGAAGACCACGGGGACGCAGGCGGAATTGGAAATGGGGACGAAGTGTGAGAGAAGCTGCATTAGTTCGTGCGTTAGCTCATGTTTTAGTCGGGGGAGAGGAGAGGGGGCTTTTCCCAGAGGAGTGGTTCCTGGTTGCGTGCTATTGACGGTTATCAGTTTAGACCATGGGGGAGGGACGAATTTCGAGGCAAGCCGTCGGAAAAGGATGGTTTTGGAAGAATAAGGTGGCTTCGGTCTGAATTCTCGAATGTTGGATTTCGAACCAAGGGGAGTAGAAGGTTGCGAACACGGCATCCTCGGCCATCTGACCTGCCTTCCTTCACAATCCTGCGAAGGAAGTGTGTCTTACCCAAGGAGGAAGGTGAAGATGGATTATTATTTTGAGAACTTATCAATCACGACGCCATTCGATCCTAGCAATAACAAAGCCCTTTTTCGATCGCCACAGAACCTGCAGTGAATGGTATTGTCTCCTCATTGCTTTTTCCTCCATAAATTTTCATTTTTTTTTCGTAGTTCATTTTTCTCCTTCCCAAGCCTTCCTTCCTACCACCCCACCCTCCTTTGCCTCATATTTGCTTCCTCCTGGACTGTCAGTCTCCAAATATATGATTCGCCTTTTTTCAGTGCCGCTGTAGCCGTCTCCCAGCTAATTTTCAACGGTTATCCTAGTGGGATTTATCTCGTTCTGTACTGATCAATGTTATCTATCTTCTTTTACCGTGGATTTGAAATTGTTCGAATTTTCTCTTGACACTGTTTTTACCTCCATAGGTTACGGGTCCAGATCCCAACCACGGAGTACGCAGGCAGCAAATCTGCGCATCGGAAGGTATCCACTCTGTGCCCTCCGTACTTTCGAACTGCTGGCCCTGCGTCGCCTAGCTGGTATTCTCATGTACGTAAGGATGTGCATACTTACATCTGTACTTATTGAATGTATGTATAGTAAGTGTACAGTCAGGGAACTCAGTAAAAGTACTATTACCCTGCACAGAAAAAAAGCAACAATAAGGGGAAAAAGTAAAATATATATACATAGCCAAGTGGCTCCAGTCCATCCACGAGTCTCTCCGTTTGCCTACACCTCTGCATAACTCAATAACGTACCTATCATCCATCCAGCAGGCCAGGCGGCAGTGATATCAGAATAACCGGTATGTTCACATGGAAGGGCTAGCTCCGGCTAGATCCCAGGCCCCAGGGCAAGTGATGGTATTGCCGTAGCGCATATGTGCGGCATATGCATGCAACATGCTTCACACTTGTCACCCACCTTCCTGGGAGAAGTCAAGCGATCATCAAGTTAGACTCCGGATAGGGCAGGAACCTCTGCATGCGATCTAAAGATCCTGTGAGTGGGATGCCATTGTAGAGGACCCGGAAAGAAGGTAGGTTGGAGGAGGAGAATGGCATTATGGGTGAGAACTCGTTTGTTTTCTGGCTGCAGCCTGCATGCCTGTTTTATCCTCAGGCAGCAATCTTTTTCTGGGGCGTACTTTGTACCTACTAAACCCTGTGTGTGAATGTATGACATAAGTAGATGCTAGAATGCTAGAATGTACCTTGCCACTCAGGGCTATACATTACTCCAGTAATAGCCACTGAGATCATTCTGGGCTCATCATTACCTGCCGAGTGTACTAATTCATGTTCCATTTACTTGCTTGACTCTGGTTACTTTCCCCACAAGCTTCTTCATGCAATGTAGCGGTAAGACGAGTGACAACTTCTACAACAGATCATAGCTTTAGATTGTATTCCTACTTACCTTTCCGTTGTGATTGATGTTCAATGTACACATTTAATTCTTCAGGTCAAATATTTATCGAGAGACTAATCCTGATAGGAATATTGGCAGGAAAGGCAAGGGCTAAGTTGGAAGAGTAGTCAGCAAAACCATTAGGGGCGAAAACCAAATGGAAAGTTGAAATGGACAAGAAAGCAGAAAGAAGAAAGAAGACATACAATTCTTTTGGTCACTTCCAGGTCTGCTGACTTGCGCTTTCCAAAAGTCCCACTGCCAACTCCTCTGCACCCACCGTTCGTCGATCCGCGGACCTCTCACTTATCCTCCGGTTCCGACACGGCCAAGGCAGCCTTTCATCCTTCTTCATCGGAAAGAACGACAACTGCAAGGATACGTATCTGCTGCTGCCATTATACTTTCAATCCTGACCTCCAGCATGTCTATCACAACATGTAACAACGATGCAGATATGTTTCACAACATACCCTGTACTGTTACCAGAAGTACCTGATGGCTCCACCTCAGCTCTGTGCGAATCCTGTGGCTAACAGACTCATCATTTTCTTCTGGGCAGACATTACACTTTGGCTGGAACAGCTGTCTCAAAAGACTCATTTTCACGATTATGTTGATCTCTCTAGATGGGTATACAGACCATACGGCTCCAACCCAGACGCCCCAACTGGTGATTCCTTTCAAGGTGATAGTCCGACAAGCGGTCAGATCGGCTTATCTTTAGCAATCAACTAATTCCGCTAGTCTATCGAGTACTACCTATTGCAGGCTGCCTTCAAGTCGAAACTCATTCTTAGGCTTACCCTTGATGCCGACGTCGACTCTATAGAGCCGGCCTCCATACCGGACGGATTCCGGAAGCTGGTCATCATTGGTATCATCCTTGGCGGTCGTGATGAAGAGCTCCGTTCCCACAAAAACTGGACAGGTAATGTTTCGAGTGGGAAAAGTTATCTCGCCAATGACCTTGCCCTCCGGCGAGATACGAATCACCTTCCCACCACCGTAAATAGCACTCCATATACACCCCTCCTCATCGATGGCAAACCCATCTGGCTCCTTTGGCTCCCCAATGTCAAAGAACACCCTTCGGTTGCTGATGTTTCCGGTCTCAGCATCGAAATCAAAGGCGTAAATCTTGCCGGTGGGAGAGTCGGTCAGGTACATAGTGTCATCCGCAGGATTCCAGCCAATCCCGTTGGGAATCGTCACCTGTTCAACCATGCGGTGCAGTTTCATGTCCGGGTCTAGCCTGAATATCACACCTTCGTTGACTGGGTTCTGCACCTTAGGATCGTTCATGGCTCCAGCCCAGAAGCGTCCGTGGCTGTCGACGGCCCCATCGTTGAAACGCATTCTGTTTTGATGACGTTCCCGATGAGTCAGACTCCACGAGGATGATGGCAAGGAAGCTGGATTATCGACTTACCTATGCTCCTTGGCCGGATCGTCCCACACTTTCTGAATATAGGACAGTGCGCCCGTGGTGCGGTCAACCAGGGCAAATCCATGTTTTGCGGCTACGACAATCTGGTTCTCGCGTGAATCCCCAGCATTCGCAATGTTGGCGGTTACTCTACAAAGATTCGGAGTATGATATTAGTGTCATTTTGGGCACCGCTTACGGTGTAATTATTTTGTGGGCCAAGGAGTCTAGCTAGGAGCGACATACCCGATTGACACAGATGTGTCCATGATCTTCAGGGAGTCGGGGCCTTTGGCCAGGTCCAGAACGTATAGCTTCTGCTCCCATATATCGACAAAGCGAAACTCATTTCTGGTCTTGTCGTGAAACGGTCCTTCCAATAAGGTTCCTGGTACATCGACATACGGCTGCATACAGAAACCAGTGTGAGGATCAGCCTCCCAGTTCTTACCTCCTTGGGCCGGTCGCCTTCATTAAAAAATAAACGTGAGATACCATACCTCAGAGACCGTCCACTTTTGGTACTGAAAGCCGGACATTTCGATGGCAGGCTGATGCGCAATCCTCAGAACCGGTGATTCAGATATGGGGATTAGATCGGGGGCAACCGTGTACTCAGCTAGGTCGAGACAACCTAGTCAGTTTAAGGAATATGCGCGGCGGCTAAGACCAGACGATTGCTGGAAAATGGAACCGTTGTGTGTGTGCTGAGGAATCCAGCCCGAAAGAGAGAATCGATAGTCGAAGTCTCATGGGCAGCTTTTCGGGATTGTCCTCGGTTGCCAAGCCCAGTCGCCAGTCGTCCCCGCACGAACCTCATCGAACACTTTTCTGGTTCTTCTCACCTTAGCGTTAGGAAGCTCATGGCTAGTGGGGCTAGCTGGCTTCTGTGTGCTACGGTGCTCGTCTACGGAGTACTATCTACGTACCAGGCTACCAGCAAAGGCAGTCTGGCACTGCCCATCGGGTCACTGCTCCGTGTCAAGTTAGTCGGTACTTTCACCGGTGGGTGGCCCAATCCAGGTGCCACTGGTGCTAATCAAGTCTGGACTAAGCAAACCGCGTCGGTTTCAGCTGGAGCTCGGCCTCCTGCTCGTCATGCCAATAAATAGACATAGTGTCTCATCGGATGTCCGTCTCTCTCACGGCCCAGGAAAGTACTCCAAAGTCCAAACACCCGGCTCGATGGCCTTTCCACTATTGAGACCGCCGGGATTTTGGTGGATACGATTATTGGAACCCACCATCTAGGCGCGACTCCACCCAATGGAGCTGACTATCACCTGTCATGTGAATTGGTATCAGCTATCTGGACCAACAGTTTCGTCACAGCAAACGTGGGAAAACTTATCGAATGAATGCCCAGGAAAAGCAAAGACGAGAAGGAAGAGGAAGCCAGGTACCCACCGGCGAATGCGTTTGATCGGGCTAATTGAATGGAGTCTCACCATGACGCCAGCCAGCCTTGGTGCTGTCAGTGACAGGGTGCGGCAGGCTTCCCGTGTTCCGCCTCATTTGTTCCAGACAAGGGTCGCGGTGGAGCAAAGTCACATACGGGGTGATGTTACGGACAAATAGGAATGCACCCGGGGGGACCTCTCCCTGGAGCATTGTGGCAGTCTGGAAAATATGGCGACAGCCAGTAGCGGTTTAGTTTAGGGCTTAAAGCAAGCTGCGCGACAGAGCAGGATCAAGCAATGTGAGTCCCGGATCTAAAAGCGTTCCTTGGATGCAGACACGGCATATCCGCCCAGGGTCCCAATTTTCGGAATGATGTGGAAGATTTCCCTACCAGTTGGAGGCCAGCCTTCTGACTTACAGCCGTTACAAACGACAGCTCCCCTGCACTGACCACCCAATATTCCTAAAAATTGGATCTTACTGGTAGTATACCTACCTCGTCCAAAGGTCACAACTAGTTACATTCTACAATGTGTGTCGTGCCAAGAGAAAAAAGGCATTAAGTAAGAAAAAGAAAGCAAAAGAAAAAGGGAGACCCAAAAAAGCAAAAAACGATTCAGAGAGAGATGGATACTAAAGGAGCAGCTACAGTATTCCTAGATTGCAATTCCTTCGGGACTGCACCAACGCTAGGCAGGATCCTCGCCTATGGTTTGGCAGACTTACGTTGCTTTTGCTGGCTAGACCGGGTTACTCTAGCTGACCTAGTGAGAGAGTTGCAGCACAGACTGAGACTTTGTGACTGCCCCCATCCAGGCGGTCTAGCAACATGGCTATTGATGAGCGAGACTACACGCCGGCAACTTAACGACGGAAGTGACCTTGATCTCCGTCTATCTGGGGTGATCGTCGTCATAGTGCTAATCATGTACAAAAGAAGTAAAAGAGGGTGATAAAGTCACGGTCGGTTGATGGGGGGCGTTGGCCACAATCCGCGACGCTGCATTGATTGACGGTCGGACGGCCCAACATTGGGCCATCGACGGTGCAGATATACGAACGAACGGAGTCGGCCACACAACCTTAATAGGTCATCCAGCGTAGCCAAGCGGGGGGAAAGAAAGCATTCGACCAGCTCAACGGTGATGCATCAGTTGGGCGGGCAGACAGTACCTGCAGGAGGCAAACACGACCGATATTTCGAGCCAGTGTTCGGTGGATCACTCAAACCAGCAATGTGTCCGCGAAAAATGCGGTGTACGGCAGCAGACTGGATGCGGCGTGTCATGTCGGTCATATCGGTAGCTGGAAGACTCTAGCCAGTGGGTATAGGTTTAGGTGGGTAGTGGGCTGTGGGCAAAGAGCCGGCGGCGCGCGGGCTTTGGGGGGAAGAGGGGGATATCCCCGACCGTTGTAAAGTGAGTGGTCACATTGAAGAGAGGGGAAGGATGAGAGGAGGAAGGAGGGGGTGTGATGCCGCATGGCATGTTGAGATTGAAGATGGATGTACTTATGTATGCAAGTGTGTCCAGATTTAGTTCTCTCCGCGCGCGGTGCGATTGCAGGCGGCGAGGAGCAGCGATGGGGCCGCACGGCGCGAGGCCTAGGCAGCCCTCACATGATCGATTCTTCATGCACGACAATGTAACTTTACATGGCGGGTGCAGGTACGGGGCCCTGCGGTATGGTATGTATGTATGTATGTATGGTATGTTTGGGTCTCGGTTACGGTAAGTATGGTATTTCCCTTACACAGCAGGAAAGTTGTTGACACTATCAAGTAGGAGAATCCATGTCGAGCACAATCCTCTTGACAAAGAGGGGGAACAACCAAAGAGTAGGAGAGAGACTGTATACGCAAGTGTCTGAGTAATCCCATGTCATGTGTGGCGACTGGGGAGACAGACAGGATCAACCCTGATCAGCCAGCAAATCCCCCTCATCCTCTCTCTCACACTCACTCTTCCTTCTCCCCGGAGCCAGCAACTCCGGCAAACCCATGCCCAGCATGCTCCAACCTAGCTAACCACCTACTAGTAAGAGTAAAGTAACTCCTGTAAGCCCCGACCCCAGTTCCAGTCCCAGTCGCAACCCGCCACGACAGTCACAACACATGGCTCTACGTTCGCAATGCAGCTAGCTAGCCCCCCAGCCCAGCCAGCCAGCCAGCCAAAAACCAAATCCTCCGTCCATCCTTCTGCCTATCTCCTCTACTAGTTAACCTGGTAGGTACCTAACCAGCCTACACATTGCCCTTCCCCTCCCCCCCTTTCCTACCAATGGCGATGCACGGACACGTGAATTCGACAAATATTTGACGCTTGGCTGATGCTCATTGGGTATCGGCTTCATGTATGTGGCTTTTTTGGGTATTTCTTGCATTAGGTTGGGGATGGTGCTTGCTGTGTGTTGGCATTAGTGTCGGTGGGAGTGAGTAGTTAGTTGCTGGGAGGGAAGTGTACTACTTACTAAGTTGGTAAGTATCCTGAGGTAGTAAGTAGTATGTAATGAAAGTATGTGTGGGTTGAACAAACATGATGTAGTTATCTGTTTGAGTTTAATTAACTTGATATGATGATACTACACTATGATACTTGCTTGGGTTATGAATAATCCATGTTGCTTGTGGGTATATATCTGTCAACAATTATGACCTACCGAGGCTTAATGTAAACCTAATAGTGGCTCCTAGCATCTTATTATCAAGCAGTTATCAGTTTGCTTAATGTTTAGCATGTATCTACCCGCAATAACTAAGCCCAGTAAGCAGTGAGTGATAGTTAATCTCGTTTCTTCAACTCCCAACAAACAAACATTCAATCAATCAATCAACCACGCAAACACACATACATACCTACATACCTACCTACCTACATATATGTATGTATGTATGTATGTATGTAAGTAAGTATCTTCGATGCAACACACAAATACGCACACACGCACAGTGCAGTAAACAAACTCAAAGGAAAGTAATCCCAAAGCAAACCGCATAATTCTACCCAAAAGTAAGATGATACATGCATACTCCCGCTTACAATTTTTTTTAATCTCTCATCGGAAGATATTCTCGACTTCTATACTTTTATTCTACTTGGTGTTTGTTTGATTGCATTTCTGTTTGCTTTGCTTGACTGCAGTGTCTTGAATATGATCCTGTGCGTCATGGAAAGTGCAGTATGCAATGCAGGATGTGGATAGATAGAGAAGTTCGAAGCGAGGATTGTGTTTCCGGATGTAGTTAGTCGCGGGTTTATATATGACTTCGGATGGAGTCGTGATGTGTAGTAGGATACATACTATAATTGCATGTACATTCATTTCTAGACAGACATCATATTGTAGTAGTACTAATATTATTATTTATTTAGAAAGAGTACTATGGCGGATTAAAATATATATGTATATATATAGATAGATACTACCTACTCTAGATAACCCACCTACCCTATGTAACATGTAGGCAGTTAGTAATTTTCTTCTAATTAATAATACGAACAGTGAAGAATATCAACCCCAAGAAATATAGTTACTAACCCTGCACGCCTGCAATGCAAGTAAGTTAAGGGATGGGATGGGGGTATATCTACCGACATGCAGATGAAAAACAAAACGCACATACCACATTTATTATGTACGTACACTCCCACTTTCTCTTCTGACTCCTAGTACTCTCCACATCGCAAAAACTTGATTCCTTCATTATAAACTCACTATGTTGTAACGATAAAATATTTATGATCTTGTCTACGACTACCACCACATGTACATATACATGGTAACATGTACATGCACCCTGCACGAAGCACGAAGCACGAAGCACTGAGTTGTCACTTACATACCACCTACCTACCTACATACATACTACAAATCACACACTCTTACAGTACCAACTCTCCTACATAGAAAATAGAGAAAGTATATGCAAGTAAGAAAAACTCTCAGCAGCCAAGAAAAACCACCCATCTATCCATCTAGAATCTACACCCCCTTACTTCCCTACCAACACTCACTCACTCACTCTCAAGCAAGCGGGCAAACGATTTCTACATACATGTGAGTAAGCCCGGTTCTTGTCCAATCGGTCTGGGATTCCTATTTCAAATCTGGATAGCATGAAGCATGTAGTAAGTAAGTAAGCATGTAAGTAAGGAAAGGAAAGCGAAGTATAAATATATATTAAGTCAAGTCAGATCAGGTACCCATGCTTTGCATTTAGAGTTGTTTGGGCTTGGCGCGGGGGAAAGTAACTTAAATTGTTGGATTTGATTGATTGATTGATTGCAAAGTATGTATGTATGGGTCTGAAACCGGATTTAAATCGTGACTGTTGGGGCACTTGGGTGGTCTTTTTTGTTTGTCTTGGTTTTCTGATTGATTGAGTGAGTGAGTGAGTGAGTGAGATTGAAATGGTTGGGTTTGGTAGGTGCTTGCGTTTTGTTAGGTGATGTGCATGGTGTTTATTGATATGCAGATAAATGGACGTGCATGTTGATGTTGAGTTGATGTGGGTGTGGGTATCGTGTGGAGACAGGTAAGCGAGTACTAACTTGTCCTAGGTATATATGCTGTGAGATCTGGTATCTGGAGGTGTAACATTTGGGCTTGTCTTTAGGCTAAAAGGGTTTGTTTGTGGCGGGTTGGGTGCTACATCACGGCTTACGGTGGAATGTGAAAGATCACTCAGGCTCAGACTCACAGCCCGTCTGCCAGTTGACATGGCTGAATTATAATACAATTTTTTTTTTTTCATCGTCAGTCAGGGTATAGTCAAGTTGGCAACAACACACCAACTTTATGTCAGTCATCGGGTACACGACATGCAACCAATGTCGCAGAGCCACATAGCATCTCTCTTTCCCTTCATGCAGCGCCATCAACACAACGGTCCATCGGATGCATGTGTATGTGTTCGTCCTACCAGGCTTGTCCCACA